TTCCCGCGTCTCTCATCGTCTTCTTTCCTTTTCTTGTCTGTGTCACAGTTACTCAATATCTTTGCCATCTTTGTCACTGCCATCTTTGTCACTATCACTTGACCATAGTCCTTATACTCAAGACATTATAAATGCTTATCCATGTAACCGCCATGATTTCAAGGGTGCTTTTGTGTGTTACACTTCACTCACAAGGGTGTAGCTTGTTCTAACACCAATAGTTTAGGGGTGTTTGAAACACCTGCAGAAGTAGTGTGTAATGTTTTCTTACACCCTACGTTTTCATGGGGTGTATCTAAACAATTTGTGTTTAAGTTGTTTTTCTCTGTTGTGTTCAAGTTGTTTCTGTCCCACGGGACAGAAAAAATACACTCTTGAAGGTGTAAAAGTTTTTGCTATGTAGATATTGAATTTAGCAAATGGTTAGAAGAAATTGTTTCGCTAAACATAGCGACATGCTTCCGCAGAAAGGTGAATGTGACCGTAATATGCGTTGTAGTAAAGGAATGCGCATGTCTGATTAGTTAGAATTAATTATATTTTGAGCATTCTTTGTCATGTAATTGCAAAAATCAAGGCTGCTTAGCCCTATTGGTGCCAAGCCTTAACGAAGCGCAGAACTTGACAGCCTTCTTTGTTTCTATTTGTTTGTATCTTTTTTTCTGCTGTTGTTCTGTTTTCTTTCCATTTTTCTCTCTTTAGTTCAATTATATTTTCTGATATTTTTTGATTCTTCCCTTTTTTACTTTCCGCCTGCTTACTTTTTAAATATTTATACGCGGTTTCTTTCGTATTGTTCTCTTGGCCAATGCAGTAAAATCCGCAATTTATGTCATTATAAAGGCCCTCTAACAGCAATAGAAACAAGCCTTCTTTTTGCCGTGAGCATGCGATCAACATGTAGCAGTTTGGTAGACTATATGTGCTATCGCCTACATTATACGCCAAGCGAAGACGACTGCATACGACAGAATACGACAGCCTAGGCCCCTAAAGTGTTTCGCACTTGAAGTAACCATCACAATCATTACACCTTAGCACTAGCAGTTCTGACTACTGCATGTTTTCTGTTGAAGCATTGAAAAATAAATATATGTTTTGAGTTGAGTATCTTTTTGGTAATGCCAATAGCGTTAAAGCAATGGCTGTCAATTTCAGATATTTGGCCCCGCCGCGGTGGTCTAGTGGCTAAGGTACTCGGCTACTGACCCGCAGGGCGCGGGTTCGAATCCCGGCTGCGGCGGCTGCATTTCCGATGGAGGCGGAAATGTTGTAGGCCCGTGTGCTCAGATTTGGGTGCACGTTAAAGAACCCCAGGTGGTCTAAATTTCCGGAGCCCTCCACTACGGCGTCTCTCATAATCATATAGTGGTTTTGGGACGTTAAACCCCACATATCAATCAATCAATTTCAGATATTTGATTTTTCGATCGCCTACACAAGTGGGCATACAAGTGGGAGTGTATTCTTTTATTGATTGATATGTGGGGTTTAACGTCCCAAAACCACCATATGAATATGAGAGACGCCGTAGTGGAGGGCTCCGGAAATTTCGACCACCTGGGGTTCTTTAACGTGCACCCAAATCTAATCAATCTACTAACTGGGTAACTACTACAAATACACTTGCTCGGTATCCACGACGCCATATATAAGAAAGGAAGAAAAATAACATTATTTTGGTGCTGCGGAACGCGAATCATAATTTTTGTCTACTTGGCCGGCATTCACTCTGCTACATCTTTCACCAATTGTCGAAAGAGTGTTGCATATACTACACACTTATTTGATTGATATGTGGGGTTTAACGCCCCAAAACCACCATATGATTATGAGAGACGTCTTAGTGGAGGGCTCCGGAAAATTCAACCACCTGGAGCCTTTCAGTAGTTCTTTACCGTGCACCTAAATCAGAGCACACGGGCCTGCAACATTTCCGCCTCCAGCGGAAATGCAGCCGCCACAGCCGGGATATGACCCCACGACCTGCTGGTCAGCAGCCGAGTACCTTAGCCACTAGACCACCGCGGCGGGGCACGGTATTCTTTGTCGAAATATACTTAACAAGTAGTGGCTGCGAAAGCGGCGAATAGGCCTGAGTTTTTTTTTTTGCTATGTCATGCGACGTGTCGTAGGCAAACAGGGACGTTTTTTTTTTTTTTGCTGTTTGTAGCAGGTGTAGCTACAGGAAATTTAACCATGTCACTTCAACAGCGGTGCCACTGTTAATCCTTGAACATTGAATCTCAAAAATTGGCATAACTTGTAGCTCATTTTCTCGTGCTAATAACACTCGTTGTTTGGCTAGCTGATTCAGTGCATCAAAAAATTATATCCAGCCACTAGATGAATGTAAACATGAAACAGAGAGTTTCCTTTTTTGTTTACTGTGTACGTTTTTTTTTTTGGCTGGATATTATTTCTTTATTTTCACGTCAGTTTGTGTCTATGGAGAAAGTGACACTTCAGGACGAGCAGTTGGCCGTAGGCTCAATGTCAGTGCGTTATAGTTTGAACTTTGCTGTATCATAAGGATTTGACATGAAAATTTTGACCGAACACTTGTTTAAAATACCTTCTTGACTTATCCAGCAAAAAGTCCGGCGCCTATGTTTGCACGCAATGATTTTTACTAGGAACACGCGTGAAGTGGATGTCTCACAAAGACGTCGAAGTCTCGCTTCAGTATCAATTCAATATTATGTAGGTCATCTGTTTCAATACAAGAAGCATGCACGTAGGCTGTATTAAACGGGAGCGAAATGCATCGTTGTAGCGCCCTTGAATGGTGTCACGTTCACGATAAATACGCGTGCAAGGGGCACTGTTCCGATACCCAAGCGTCGCACTTTTCCCCTCATTGCGGCCGGTTTCTAAGCTGTGAGTTCGAACTAGGACACCAACTGGAGCTACGCGTCACGTTCAGCGAAATCAGAATTAGCTTACTCCACGAAAACACACAAAAATTAAGAAGCAAAAACACGCATGAAGACGAGAGTAAACGGTATACAGCCCATTGCTTCTCAACGCGCTGCGTGTGCTGAAACCAAGAAGTTAAAAAAAAGAAAGTAAATAAAAGCTATACTGCGACCTGCTGTTCCATTTTAAAGCGTTATCAATGGCCACTCTTGTGAGGAGAGTAGCGAAAAACCTTGAAGCAGTAAGCGAATGTCTCCCGACGTGGGACTACTATCAGCGCGACGAGCGTGTAGTCAAAGCAGAGAAGCCAGACCCACTCTCGTTTCCATGCACACAAAAGCGCTCGGATGTTTTTGAGGGCGTCCTCAAGAGAGTACCTGAAATGGTCAATGGCGTTCGCGGTAGAACGCATAAGATACAAAGAAAGAAACTTAATAGGCCTGTCTTGATGAAGAACTTACGCTATCCCTGCTGTGGTGGCTGCAGTTTCGGTGGAGGCGAAAATGCTGTAGGTGCGTGTGCTCCGATTTGAGTGCACGTTAAAGAACCCCAGGTGGTCAACATTTCCGAAGCCCTCCATCACGGCGTCTCTCAGAATCATATGGTGACTCAGCGACGTTAAACGCCACATATTAATCGAACAAAAAAATGCCAATAAATAAATGCCGGACGCATCTTGTATGAGTAGTGGAGGTCATGGTAGGCTAACTTCGTGATGTTACACAATCGATTAAAAAAAGCTTGAACAGTAGTTGTTTCGGCTTTTTCCTTGCTTTGTCGCTCGCTTTTAATGTATACTTCTCGGCCACCACTTCCCTCAGGTCGACCCTCGTGGCGTGTTTTTTCTCTGTCTGTAAATGTCTTGCTGTAATAAAATCAAACATTCCAGTTTTTTTCCCTATAAAAGAGCGACACTTCAGTCTAAACGAAGAGAAGAGTACAGAGTGGTTCATAGACAAGAGCACAGAACACGCAATTAGCAACATTGCAAGTGGTAGAAGTGAGATGAAACAGTGCGCCGATCACGGCAGACTCGAAAGGATTCGATTACTGGCGGTCCGAGGGGAATTCATTGACCCAGATTGGCTGCTACGAGGGACACGCCATGAGCTTGGAGCCCAACGAGAACACAAGATGTGGTGCCGTCACGCAGCCGGTGGACGCAGGAGGACTGCGCAGTGCCGCAATTAGCAGGCGTGGAGCAACGGCTCGCACGAGACTGTTGCATGTGCACACGAGCGCGGCGTGCTGCCCGCACTTGTGTAACTACAGTAGTGGGCCAATCTGAGAGCACGCCTTATTCAAGAAGGATGATATATTTTCTCTCGCGGAGGCCTACTCCCCCGAAGGAGAAATTACTCCTGGTGACGCGGGCGAAAAGAGGGGGAGAGGTGAAAACGGGCGCCGCGGACCGGCTCCTCACCTGGCCACGCGGCCTGTGATGCGCTTCGCCGTAAGGCATGTCCTGGTGTGCTCGTGCAAGCTGCGTAGGGGAGTGCTGCAGCCGTTCCCGTATCTTGGCCTCGAATCTGCCGAAAACTGAGAGTCTCAGCACGGGCGTACGTGCATCCACGCTGCTGCAGCTGCTCGTCTTTCATTTCAGGAGTCCCCTTATTTTCATGTATTTTTCTTGTTGCTGCGGTGAGTCTGTGCGTGCGCCACAAGTTTCACAGTCTCTGGTTGGGCGATGCGCGCTAAGTGGAAGGGTATCTGGAGCGTTCTGCGATTAGAGTCCTCCGCAGGCCCATTCGGCCAGCGCAGCATTGTGTAGCCCCGATGAAGCGGAGAGTGGAGTGCGCACAAGGAAGCGCCGCACAAACAATAAAGCGCGATGAACGAGATCGAGGGCGAGGAAGTTAGAGAAGCGCCCAATCGGGCTAGGATTCTTTACACGTCTCGCGGCAGTTTCTTGGCCAAAGTACGACGAACTTGAATCGAAACGGATCGAGGTGCGCTGCTGCGCCGTTGCTGGAGGTCGAGGTTAGTGGGAGAGAGGGAATAAAAATTGTGTAACAAAGTCGGACGCAGTGTGGCGTCTCCGTTGGGAGGAGGGAACTCGAGGTATAAAAGCGGCACGGATCCGGCTGGTTGCGCATCATTTGAACTTGTGGAATTCTTGCATAGGGGATTGCCGATCGCTCCTGCTCAGACATGCACGCCCTGGTGAGTCGCGCTTCAATGCTCCGGTGCTGGCGTTGGCGAGGAAGCGGCTACACCCGCCATACGCGGTGATGCTTCGATCACTGCGGATTTGTTTAAAAGTTTAATGTGCTGTCGGTGGTAGAGCCGTGGTCGCGCGTATTCGTTTCACCTTGACAATATTGGGAGTTTCATCTAGGCGTACGGATTTCGCTATAAGAAAGGATTTGCTTGAGCAAAAAGAATTGTCCAAGTCATGACCAAGCGAAGGACAACTCTTTTTGCGTCAGTAGTGGCTGTTATCTATTTCGAATATAGCAGCGTAAGGCTACCTACTAATCAAAGTTCAAAAGTGAAAATGTTGGCCCATACCCTCTCCTAGAAGTCAGCTTTGAGTTTTGTTGAAAATGTTTAATCAGTTTTCAAGGAATCAAGTGTTTTTTTCGTTTCTACACGGCGTGCTTTTCCAAATACTGATGGGTGCTCGCAGAGGTTGTTTATGATATATTTAAACAATATTTAAGTTCTGCTCGCGAAATCTCCAGCTTACAATAGACGGCCATGATGCCTAGAAGCATACAGGCGGATACTTTCATACTCTAGATATCACATGATAAACTAGGGACTTTCAAAGTGTCACTGCTGTCACAAGAGTGATGTCATTGAAATAATGTCGATGATTCGAAGTGCTCTTGCGATCGTTTCGCGCCGAATATTATGGCTTTATGGCACGGCTAAACGAAAAACGGTGCAACCAATACACAGCATTCTTGAACGAGGCGAACTATTTCTTCAGCCGTCGCCTTGAATTTTTATCTATCTATCTATCTATCTATCTATCTATCTATCTATCTATCTATCTATCTATCTATCTATCTATCTATCTATCTATCTATCTATCTATCTATCTATCTATCTATCTATCTATCTATCTATCTATCTATCTATCTATCTATCTATCTATCTATCTATCTATCTATCTATCTATCTATCGATCTATCTATCTATCTATCTATCCATCTTGCAACAAAACACTTATAAAATATTGCATCCTATGAACTTCGCGAAGCAACCTGTCGTCTGTTTTTCAAAAAATACAAGGCAGTTTAATATGTTAGGTGAAGGGGTACTTACTTGAGTTGGCTTAGGGTACTTACTTGATTGGTACCGAAACTATAACGAGAGTCCTAATCTGCTCTCAGTAAGTTGCTGCACCGGAAATTCAAGGAAAACTGCTAGTTTCAAATTACTTGCTGGGATTTACGAGTCTTCTGGTAAGTAACGTGTACCAGCGGTAAAATGGAGTTAGCTTATGCCTATCATTACGTCAACAGTTTGTCGACACTTCCTAGTTTAATGAGTAAAAATTCTTGCTTGCACAAAAACACGTCTTGTTTGCACAAGAACACTGTATTTTCTCTATTTTTTTACATCGGCAATCGCACTTGCAAAATACCTGAAACATATGCTTCACATTACAGGATTTTAACGCGAGCCACTGTCTACTTTATATAGCGTATAATGAAGTTCACGGTCAATTCAATGTTGTGAATGCAGGAATGACTTGTTCTAATTTAAAAAAGATGGAGCCAGCAATTTTTATTTTCGAGTGAAGCACTAATTGAGACATAAAGTTCAACTATATTCACCGCAGGCTTTGTCACTCTTGCTTTAAAGAAGGATGAGGGGCGCTAAAATTTTTTTCAAATGGTTGTTGGTGCCACATCTGCAGTGTTTCTTGAACTCCATGCGCATTGATTTTACAGCTATTCAGATATCAGCGAAAGTTGCAGGGTTTGTTTGCAGCTTCTGTTTATTTTGTGACCGCACTACTCCGGGATTTCAGTATTATTGCAATGAGATGGTGTGAAAAGTAAAAAGATCGCATGTGTAATAATTACGCACTAAATATGCTCATTTACCTTTCTGAAAAGATAAAACATGTTACTTTAGTTAAGAAGAAAGACTGGTTGGCCCTGCCTAGTGTGGAATGTGTATTTTCCAACAAAATAAAAAGTAAAAATGGCTGTTCATAACAACACTTGCTTTCGAATGGTATAATTTGTAATATTTTCATGAATTTATCGCAGGCGAAGGCTGCTCTCCTGTCCGCGGCTTTCAGCTTTTGCCTGGGTGGTACCCCTCGCCTTGGTAGCAGAGCCTTGGTACTGTTCAAGAATCTTCCCAATCAGAAACAGCCACAACACAACCACCAGCAACAGCAGCAGCAAGTTCTAAACAATGGTTACGGACCCGCCATGGTTCCTTCTGTGTATCCAGTGAATCCCATGTTTCCCAGGGGCCCGGTGTTTCCTCCTCCACCTCCTTTCCTGCAGCACGTCCATCCATTCCTGCCTTACGGACCGCATATGCAGCCGATTCAGCCCATCCAAATGTTCCCTATCCATGCACCGGGAATAATCCAGGCTCCCATTCCCCTGCCACCGCCTGTCCATCCTATGATCACTCCTATACAAATACACAGTCTAGCCGGCAATACAGGGGGAAATGTGGCCACAGGATTAGCTGCTACGCTCCCCACAAGTTTGGCTAGTGCGCTCTCCGGAGGAGGAACTATTTCGGCCGGCCCTACATACCTGATCCAAGAGCTGAGGCACCACAACACACCATCAAGCAGCACTAAGAGTCAGACAAGCCACAGCACCAGTGGGAGCAATCTGAACACCCAGCAGCCAGAAAAAATCTTATTCCTCAAGGACCTCAAGTCATTTAGCACACCGATTCCGGCAGCTAAGAACAAAAAGCTTGTGCTGCCTACTCCCCAAGACTCGTTCAAAAACCTTGGACCCGAGATCCTACCCCCCATTGTGCTGAATGCTAATACACTCGCTCAGCTCGGTCTGGGTGGCCTGTCGGGTCCTATCACCGGTGGCCTCCTGCCCGACGCCGGGCAAGATGGCCTGCACCTAAAGGGAGGAAATGCCATCTGGTGATGGCCTCGCATGGACGTAACGATGCGTGGATTTCATCGAGCTGCAAGTATGTGTGTCTAGTCTCGTCCCAGTCACGTCCCAGCGGTGTGTTTGTCAGTATTTATGGAATTTGCTCTAGAGCCACTTTACAAGGCCAAGTTAAGTTTTCGGATATGCCCATATAAACATATCCGTGTGCTAATGTCAAGCAAGCACTGCAGGAACACTTAAGAGCGTTTTATTGTCTCCCCAGTCATTGTCGTCATTGTCTTAAGCGAAATTGCACTGCGAGACATTGTGCGATGTATCTCATTGCTGAAAAGTAGCTTGCCAGCTTAACTTCGTCTTCCGAGTTTTGCAATCATTATTCTTCGCCTGGTCGTCTTGTGTGCTTTGTTTGGTAGGGCAGGTTATTATCATACAGTGAAAAGTGTTTGTTAAACCAAAAAACTCACAAAAATATTGTTTGAACACCTTAACACGTTTTAGTGGCCAAAAGGCTTAGTGTACATAGAAGTAATTTTTCTCATATTCATTTTTTATATTAAAGAGCTGGACTCCATTTATTGAGCATTTTTAGACTTGGCGTCCTTCGACATTTATTGAAGGACTACGCTGTAACAGGTTGTATATACTGAGATTTGTAAATAAAGGCTTATTTTAAAAGAAATGGGATTCTTATTAAAGAGGAACAGCATAATGACAGGATTGATCAAGAAAGTGGCGCCATCACTTTAATGGTAAGTAAGCATCTCTTCATTTCATTCAAGTACATACGAAGCTGCAATTTTGGTATACGTTTGATTACGACGTTCCTGAACAAGTCAAAGGTACGTGATTGCTGAAATAGGGCGCATTTGAAAGCGTGCACGAAACTAGAGAGCTTTTTTGAATGAAGTCAACTTACAATATGTTTTAAAGTGCTCAGAGGGCAGACCATATCATCAAGATTCACGATAGCTGTAAAAATGTTCCGAAAAACAAGGTGGCTTCGAATGTAAAACTGAGTTTTTCGCAGGCATGTCAAATGTTTAAAGAAAAACTTAGAGTTGCATTTGAGCCGGTCTGTGTGGAGTTATTTAATACGCATAGGCCACAGCTGTGAAATTTTTCACTATGCCTCTCATATGCTAAAAGAAATGTATTTCAACTGGTTAGACCACATACCTTTGCGGGAAAGGTGTTTGCAACAAGGTAAAGCTAAATCTTCTCACACTGCTCATGTATCTTGAACTACTTTGGCAGCACGCTAACACATTTACGATCTTCTGGGAGTTTTGGTTTCTTGCACTATGAGATACTGCATCACTCAAAGACTAAAAGTACAGAGAGAACACTTTAGAACATGAGGATCGTGTCAACAGAAATACATTGCTTCTTTAACTTGTTATCATGCGTAACAACGTGCCACTCTTCTTCGCCCTCAAACAACTCTCTCTCCAAAAATATTAATTTGAAGTTCTCTAACTTCATTGGTCCTCAAGATGCCTTTTTGAAGAAGTGTGTCCTAGCTAATTCCAGAAGACGCAACTATACTTAAGAAGATGGTTAGGGACTACTCTCACCGAGGTGCCCCCAAAATAGCTAGAAACAGCGTCAGCGATGATGCTGGCAATAAAATTTGTTAAGGCACACCATAATGTCGACTGCGTGCCGCACCGACTATCGTTTCCTCTCTTTGACACCCATTTAAACTATAAAGAAGGCAGAGGAAGACGTTGCAAAGAGTTTCTCATTCTATAAGATCGCACTCTCACATTGCCGTTTAGCGCCCTCACTCTAGAGACATTGCAGTATTTCACTCAGTATTTGTTCGAGAGCAAGTGCCGAAAAAACATAATGAGGTAATTGCCACACTCACAGCTCCAAAAGAGTGCTGGAAACTCTCTTTGCGGGAGTAAATGCTTGTCCCTTATTTCACTCTCTTTTAAGGAGGGCTGGTAACCCTCTGCCGCACAGAATAGGCCCACTCTCTCGACAGAGCGCCGAAACTATCGCTGAACGAGAATGAACAATGTCTCTCGCAACACAACAGTGATGCTTATGAAATATAGTTCATATACTCTCTGCGGGAGTTACGCTACCCTCTCAGTGTTTTACACTCTGGTCGGTCAAGAGTGCACCAACTCAATCTAAGATTAGGACTATCATTTCAAAAAACAGTCGGGCATTTTCAACAATTCAATAGTGAATGTGCTGCATAGATCGCTTGAAGCTTACGTCAAATATACCAAACAGACTAGGCACACGCATCATAATTGTAGACAACACAGCAGCACAGAACATATGCCTCTCGCGATACGTTCGAATCAAACCTGTATTTATATCCATGATGTCTAGTCTCCTTATAGTGTGGGTGGCACAACATCTATATTACGCGATTTTGAAGAGCAACTATACCGCTAGCATGTGTAAGTATCTGGTGATATTTAGGTATTCTGTAGGCACGTCGACCTTTCATTATAAAACCGCATGACATTCAATGCAGTTTTTACTACTAATGGCAATTATGAGCTAGCATTCTCTCAAATCAACTCAGTGCGCTGAAGCTGCGTATGCTCAAGCCGGAGAGTGGTAGCTAGGCGCTTACAAATTCAGTTGGGACGATCTTTCAGCAGTGCTGGCTGCGAGGTATAATCTACGAACGTTACGATCCGGTGTCCGATCTGACTTGCGATGCCGTGCCATGTATTAGCAGCCAAAGAAACAACGCCAGTTAGCAAAATCGCAACTGAAACGCATCTCTGGCAATCCTTACAGTTTTGCTTACCTTGCGAAATGTTGAAACTTCAACCTTCCTGAGCGCCCTTGAGCGAGAGTGGTCCAACCAGATGTGACCCGTACGACTCCCAACAAATGTATGCCTAGCTTCCACGCCGAGTCCTTCATACGTGTCATCGGCGCTTCTGGGTTTAATCGTGATTCAGAGGAGTCAAAACTATTGTACAATAGAGCCTTGGCATCGGTTATTTTGAATGAACTATTGTTTCTTGCGTACGGTGTCTGCACAAGGAGCGATGAGTCTAGATGAGACATGCATACAGCCAGCGGAGCTGCGCACACGGGCGGCCGCCGAAAGCTGCCGGTGTAGTCCCCAGCGCTTCGCTGACTCATGCGTGAAAACACAGGCTTGTCATTCGGCATGCGTTCATGAAGTAACACGATGAGAAAATCTCGTACATATGCAATTTGTTTTTTAGCAATCGGCTATGTAGTTCCAACTATCGGCTTACAGATGCACATCAGTACACAATAACACGGCTGCTGCCATATAGCAGATTGTCGCTTGCTAAAGACAATGCACCTTATTCGATGAAGTACGCGCGTACTTATCAAACATTACAGTCGGTATAAAAATTATGTGCACTTCAACACGCAGAAAAAGCGAGGAACAGCTCTTGCACTCGTAACTACCAGCTGATAATCTGCCCCAGCTTCTTCGTATTATTTGTGTTTTGTTTTCAATGTTGTGAATTCTGAAACAAACTTCGAGATTTGCATCAGCACCACGTCATGCGTTGACGGCAATAGCTTCCATAGTGGCGATTGGTGCCGCCAAAAATTGCCGCTATTTCTTGCCGCCAGAAGTTGCCGCTATTTCTTGCTTGGAAGGTGTAGCTGTTGGCGCTTCCGGAACGAAACGTTTATGATCACCAACCCACGCTTTTGTTACAACTGGAACTTATCCTATTTTCTTGACCCATTGAACTTACATAAGGGCGTCTACGTTCAGAGGCGTATGATTACGAGAAAGTTAATATTGATTTGCGGCCTCGGTCGTGATATGCATGAAGGCACAAGATGCACGCCGGCACGAGAGCTGCATGGATTGGGAACTCCACCTGAGTAGCAGGGCACTCGCCGTCACTTACTCTGCCTTCAAAGAAATAGTAGGTTTCGCGGCTAACTCTGCCCTACTCCCCATGAAATTAAGGAACTCTTGGTAGAGTAATACAGTTCATCTGCTCTTGCAGTACTGCCCCTAATACTGTGAGTGCACAGTGAAGTCATTGGTAAACGTTCGCTACATTTTTTTTAATGCGATAACGCGGCACCGCCAAGCCAAGATGTATTGAAGATACTGGATATCCTGCGTGCAGTGCTTGGTCATTTGGGAAAGCTCACAGGGTCTCTTATGCGCTCTCCTAAGAACGAGTACAAGGCAAAATTTATTATTATTTTTTTCTTCTCAACCACTTGATTGATATGTGGGGTTTAACGTCCCAAAACTACCATATGATTATGAGAGACGCCGTCGTGGAGGGCTCCGGAAATTTCGACCACTTGGGGTTATTTAACTTGCACCCAAATCTGAGCACACGGGCCTACAACATTTCCGCCTCCATCGGAAACGCAGCCGCCGCAGCCGGGATTCGATCCCGTGACCTGCAGTCAGCAGCCTAGTACCATAGCCACTAGACCACCGCGGCGGGGCACTTCTTCTCAGCCACTTCACGGCTTTTCCACTACCTCTTTTAAAGCTTTCAGCGCCTAACGTGGTTTTCCACCACCACCAAGAGTGAGGCAACGCAAGCTTTGTGCACCCCACCTCATTTCGCGCTGCCTTCTGAAACAAATATCAATGCTTATAATGCATGAAAATTAAGCCAGTTAAGTACATATTTACATCGGCAGCTCAAGGCTTATCCGGTGTTCATACAGAGCAATGCTGGTGGGGTCACTAAAACCGACCACTGCAATGGTCGGTTTTCAGTGACTCTAAGTCAAAGGCAGTCCTAGAATAAGTGTTTTATAAGTCCTGCGGCACCAATGACCCGGACATTTGGTATTCAAAATCTGACACCTCATTCATACATCATTTTGGAAAGGGCACCAACTGACATTTCAGAGGTTGCCAAATCAGTGCTGCATAATAGCAATGAATATGCTGATAATGCTGCTCGGTGCGCTTTGCAAGAGGACAAGAAAAATACCTGTTCCTTTCAAGAGTTGATGCTGCAGCTCCTGTGCTTCAAACTATCGCACAGGACATTGAGCAGCATCACCTCAACGCGTTGCCGTGGTCTCAAACGTCAACTCGACTCCGCCGAAGAGAGGCCACTTTGCTCTGGTGCTGATAGTTAAAAGTGGATTTCGTAAAGTCCTTTTCGTTTGGAAGAGTTATGACTGGCAACCATCTTAGTGACGTCTCATTTGCAGTTTTGAGGTGACTTAGCAGCAAACATTCTGTGACTGTTTTGGCTACAATGTTTGAAGTTTGCAGTTTGATGTTCGGTTTATTTTGCCACACAAAGTACAATAATTTCAGATGTGGTTTGGAAGGTGAGAAAAAAGCTGCGTATATGTTGTTTGAGTGGCCCCACCTTGCATTACCCCGCAGTGGGCCCTTTAGCAGAAGCAAACAAAAGTAATATACAGTAAAGGTCTGAATTACTGAACAAAGTTAACTAAAATATACATATATAGCAGACACTTTCGGAGAAATAAACAAAACATGCACACAAAGCGTAACAACAGTAATCATTTTTTAAAGTGGAATTAAGATAGGGGGTATATGCAAAATTTTAACTAAAAATCGAGACACCAGGCGATAACAGGCAGTCATACTGTTTGAAAGCACACGCAATTTTCGCGTCCTTACATTATATTTACTTTACATCTGAGGGACGCTGGACGGCAACATCTGCAAACCATAATTTGTTCGCGATC